CACTTTCGTATTTCCGTGTCTTTGGTGCTGGGAGATTTTCTTCAGTTCTGGAGGTTTTCTAGGCCCCATTGTCCAAGCTTTCATAATTCTTCAGTTTTGTCCCGTTCTGCAGCCCATCAATTGAGTTTTCTATTTATGCCATAAATCACTAGATTTTCTCTGCTAGCTCCGTGCTAGACATGGATGGAAGAATCAAAACCTCATTCCCAGTGGTGATCAAAACTTTTTAAAAAATGCCTTGGAATGCATTGAAGAACAAAAGTATAGGATGCATAATAGCAACCATAAAGTCTTGGGAAAGGCAATAACTAATATCTGAAATGGAGACAACTCAGGTTTATGGATAAGAAAACTTATAGCAAATATAAGTTCTTCTCAAGGTAGTATGAAATTGTTGATTGGAATCCAAATAGTTTTTTGAGGGGTAAGGGAACTTCAAAAAATGATTTTAAAGTTCTTAAGGAAAAATACACACAGGAGACGCAGGAATTGACAAATGAGGTGCAACAGGATAGAGTTGAGGTAAGGTCCTGTACCGAGTTAGGAATTTAATATGTGTACCACGGAGTTGGCCCATTGGTCCGGGTAGACGTGCATGAATTGTTCCATCAGTGGAGGCTGACCTTATAACTCATGCTATATCCTATATAGACAAATACATTCCTAGTAGATTAAAAGGCTAAATGAAAAACATTAACTAAAACACTTAAATAAGTGAATACATAGAAAAATAAATAATAAATAAATTTGATAAAGTGAAATGTAGGAGACTATTGTAAGAATCTGGGGACAGGCAGACCTTCTCTAACAAGCAGGGTGCTCCGCAGCCACACAGAACACGATGGGCACGTGATTACAATAATTACTACAGCACTACTCCAGTAACAACATGTGTTAGACGAAATGCAGAGCCATCGAAAGAAAAATGGTTCAATGGGAGATTAACGTCCTATTAATCCATAAGAAAAAAGATGAAGAACCTAATAGAAAACTGGGCCAAAGATATGAATAGTCATTTAACAGAAAAAGAAGTGCACATGGCCAATAAACAAGTGAGAAAAATTACATAACCTTACAAGATATCAGGGAAATGCAAATTTAAACAAAAACAGAAATACTCTTGCCCATGATAGGCAAAGATTCAAAAGGCTGATGCTCTACAGTGTTAGGAAGGAGAGAGAGAAATAAGCTTGCTGAGGCATTGGTGGTGAGAGGACACATTGCTAGAGACCTTTGGGAGGGTAATTCAACTCTGTGACATTGGGGGTGGCATTCACATAGCACTGCAAATGTGACAGTGATGGTAATCATATAACTCCCGGACAGCGGTGATTGTATCCACATAACTCAGTGACAGTAACGGAGGCATTAACATGGCTGTGATGGTGGTGGGGGTGGTAATCACATCACTGCAGCTCTGGTCATGGATTCACATGGCCTGTGTTGTTGTTGGTATTCACATAACTGTGATGGTCATAGCGTTATTCACAGAATTCTGTGTTGGTCATGGTACATACGTAGCTCCGTGATGGTGTTGGTGGTATTCATTTAATTCTGTGACACTGTGGTTTCCACTCAACTGTGTTGGTGGCGGAGGTATTCCTAACACTCTGGTATTGACATAATCATGCAATACAGTGGCAGTATTCACATAACTCTGTGATGTTGGTGGCGGTGTTTATGTAATTCTCACCTGTGGTATTGGTATCCAGATAACTCTGTGAAGTTTGTCGTAGCAGTCATGCAACCCTGCTGTGATGGTGACAATATTCACACAACTGCAGTGGGGTGGTGGTGATGGTATTCAAATGGCACTGCCGTGTTGGTCGTTGTATTTACGTAACCCTGTGGCGTGGGTGGGAGCCGTCACATAACTCATTGGTTGTGTTCGTGGTAGTATTCCCATAACTGCATCGTTGGCTGTCTTTTCACACAGCTCTGTGAGGTCACATAGTCACTTAACTATGAGGCTGGATGTGGCATTTTAGATAATTCTGTGATGGTTGCGATGGTATTACTATAACCTTGATGTTGGTGGTCATGGTACTCGAATATCACTGCAGTGTTGCCAGTGGTAACCACATAACTGTGACGATGTTCGACGTTGGTGTTCTGTGATGGTGGGCATGGTATTAGGATAATCTGCAATGGTTGTTGCAGTCACACATCTGCGATGGTGGTCACGGGATGCTCACATAACACAGTGACTCTGGACATGAAATTTGCATAACTCTGCAATGGTGGTGGGGACAGTATTCACCTGTCTCTGAGAGGTGGAGGTGTTGCTATTGACGTGACTCTGTCACTTTGGTCATAGTCATTACCTCTCATTGTAACATTGCTGGAGGTGGTATTCACATAACTGTAGGATGTTGTTGTGCTGTTCCCATAATTGTGGCCGTGCTGGGTGTGGCAATCCCATAACTCTGCAAAGTGGGTCGTCGTCTTGACATATCTTAGCGACAGTGTAGTGGTTTTCACATAACCCCGCCGTGGTGGTGATGGCATCCACGTAACTCTGTGACAGCAATGGTGGTGTTCACGTAACCCTGCACTCTTGTTCATATAACTTGTGACATCGTCATGGTAGTTACACAATTCTACAATGTTGGTCATGGTGTTCATGTAACTCTGCCATGCTGTTTTTGTGGTGTTCTCATAATTCTAAAATGGTGGTGGTGGTATCCACGTAACTCTGGGATGGTGGATGTGCTGTTTGTGTAGCTCTGTGACTTTGGTGGTGGTGGAAGGGACATGGCCCTGTCATGTTGGTCTTGGCCTTCATGTGAATCTGGGATGTTGGTCATTGTAACCACATCACCCTGCTATGTTGGTGGTCGTCTAAGTCATGTATCTCTGTGACATTGGTCAAGATGTCCTCATAGCTGTGATGGTGGGGGTGGCATCCAGATAACTGTGATGTACTGGTGGTTTCACATAGCCGTGCAATGATTGGAGTAATAGTCACATTTTATGGGTGTAGAGACTTGTAGAAAGTTTAAAGTTTTGCTTAAAGTTACACAACAAGACATGACAGAGTCAGGCTCAAATTCAGGTTTTTCGAATAATCCAAATTCAGTCTTTTCTGCACTACACCATGTAGTCTATTCCTGCTAAATCTAAATTTAAAGGCTTTGGAATACAACATTTATATCTTCAAACTCCCCAAGGGCCTTGGAGCACAGATATTGTCTCTTCCGTTCTAGCTGTTTATCCACAACTCCAGCTACGTCCACATATTCACATACACATATACCTTTTCATGTGTGAAACTGATAAAAAATTTAGCTACAAATTCAGATGTATAAATTGAACTTTTGAAAATTTATATTAAATAATGCAGAAGAGGGCTTTCCCATAAACCAAAGTAAAGCATCTTTGAGGGTAATCTAGAGTTTATTCAATTACAGTTTATAAATAATTCAAAATATATTTATTAAAGAATGAATTTGAATGTTGGTGAAAATGTTGGTATTGTAGTGTTTTCGTTCTTTCTTTAAAAATTATAAACCTCTAGAAGTCTGTAAAGGACTAGAAATGTGACGTGAGGATGCTGGAGCCTTGGTGGTGGGTAAATGGCAGGTACATGTTTAAACAATCATTGGATTATGCATTTAAGATTTCTACATTTTACAATATATAAGTTATACCTCAACAAAGTTTTTAAAAAGGAACTTTTTTTACATCACAACGTCGCACGTTTATATTTTGTATAACTGAAACAAAAACTTCATTAAATAGTATTTGCAGTGACTGTATGGACATTTCATATAAATGGAATCATACAAAGCCTTTCGTGCCTGGATTCTTTCACTTATCACAATATTTTCAAAGTTCGTTTATGTCGTAGCATGTAACAGTACTTCATTCCTTTTTATGGCTGAATAATTTTCCATTGTAAGGATTTACCACATTTTGTTTATCCATTCACCAACTTTTGAGTTGTTTCCGTCTTTCGGCTATTGTGAACATTGTTGTTATGAACGTTTGTGTACAAGTTTTTGTGTGGACGTGTTTTTATTTCTCTTACGTATATACCTAAGAGTGGAATTGGTGGGTCCAATGGTAACTCTGTGTTTAACTTTTTAAGGCAGCGCCACACTGTTTTCCGAAGTGGCTTCATCGTTTTACCTTCCCTCCAGCAGTGTTATGAAGGTTCCAGTTTTTGCACATCTTCCCCAACACTTGTGATTATCCAGCCTTTTTATGATAGCCATTGTAGTCGGTGTGAAGTGATATCTCACAACAGTAATGCTGTAGTCAATATCTTGCATTTGCATTTCCTGCATTGGCCTTGCACTTTCCTGATGGCTAATATGTTGAGCATCTTTTCACGTGCTTATTGACCATTTCTTTGAAGAAATGTTGCTCAGATCCTTTGCCAATTTTTTATTTTTGCTTATTTTATTGAGTTAACATTGGTTTATAACATTCTAGAAATTTCAGGTGTACATCATTATATTTCTATTTCTGTGTAGACTACATCATGTTGACCACCCAAAGACTAATTACCTTCCATCACTGTACACATGTGATCTGTCACCCCTTGCACCCTCCCCTCCCCTCTTCCCCTCTGGTAACCACCAATCTAATCTCTGTCTCTATGTGTTTGTTTGTTTTTGTTTTTATCTTCTATTTATGAGTGAGATCATACGATATTTGACTTTCTCCATCTGACTTATTTCCCTTAGCATGATACCCTCAAGGTCCATCCATGTTGTCACAAATGGCAAGATTTCATCCTAGAAAGATACTTCTAAATAAAATGAAAATATTATGGGTTTCAGAAAAGTCGAGTGTGGTGCCAACCTAAGCACTCAGGATATTTTCTTATGGGTGTGAGTTATTGCTTTTATAGAAACAAAACAAAGTATCACCGTGAATATGGAGTTGAAGTTTAAGAAACGTGTATGGCTTTCAAAAACGTCCTTGATGTAGTCAGGAATTGTCTCTTCCCCTCGTTTCCCCGGGCTCATGATTTCCGTTTTTTCCCCTTGCAGTACTTGGGGTGCATTGAAGTTCTACGCTCAATGAGGTCTCTCGACTTCAGCACGAGGACGCAGATTACCAGGTAAGCCCTCTTGAAAATGGACTCCTGTGATCTTCTTTCAGCAAGGAATGATTTCAGAGGTTAACAGCCTGGAAATTTCCAGAGGAAAAGGCTGCCCCTTGAGTGCTGGTGACTGGTGACAGGGAGTCAGGACTTACTGTATTTCAAGACTTTTGCCTGTTCATCCATGTTTGTGACGTGTGTCTCTTGACGTGAGTACCCTGGAGACACTCCCCACTTCTAAGCCCTTTCTATCATTAAGCTGCAGACAAATGGAGTGTTTACATTTGTTTCTTTAATATGTGAAACCCTAATACCAGACTGATATTTGAAAAGGTACTGAACTGTGTTGCTTCTTTCTAAAAAAGGAGGTCAAGATGTCAGGAGAGAATTTCTGACAGTTTACACAAAGAATAAAATGCACAGAATTGGAAGTAGAGATATTCGTGGGAGCAGTAGTTTAGAAAGCAGACTAATTCTTTAAGGGGTCAGTGATTTTGAACAGGTTTATAAATTCTCCACCATCAACTAGATTCTAAAGCCATCCTGAAAAGGAGCAGTGGAAGGCTAGGGCTGGGTTTGTGAAACGGCTACGTTTCTGTGGATGATGAGCTTGGCAGTTGCAGAATTGTTTAATCTAAACAATGACCTCAGAAAATGCCTCATATTTATTTCATTCAAATTACCCTATTGTGTATCTTTGGGTTAGCAAGCCAGAGTCTAGAGACTGAGCTTTAAGAAAGCCATTATTTTTAATAATTAGCTGCTAAATAATGTACACACCTCAATTATGTTTTAAGCCCCACAATGATACCTCTTCCTCCTCACCAAAGAAAAATTTGTGTTCAAAAGAGTTGATGATTCTCTCTAAAGTGACTCGAGACACACCTGGTGGGAATGCACTGACATTAGTAATCTACACTAAGGGAGGAATCCATCTTCATATATTTATAGAAAATGGCTTATGAAAATTGCCAAAGCCAGGGAATTGTATTTTGAAGTGAAAGTATTTCGAAGAAAAGTTTGAACATTTACTTAGTCAATCATTCGTTCATCCTACCCATGACAGGTCAGGTGTGGAGCAGCATCTGTGAGTAGGGCACTCCGCCCTGTGCCTGGGGAAATGTGGGAATATATGACAGTATTCACCTTCTTGTGTGTGGTGGCGGTTGTCTTTAAAGAGAATTGTTGGCCATTTCTACTGAATTCCCTTTATAGATACTAGAACTTGAGATAATTTCATGTCATTTTAATTTTCCTGCTGTATTCATTGAGCATTTACTGCTGACAGTGCACGCACAGCGTGCTGGCCAAAGTAGGCTGTCTTGTTTTGCCTGGTCTCCCAGTTTTTGGGAGAAAGATGCATATAAAAATAATAGAGGGGCATGCAAAGGGCACAGACCAATTCCTGCTCCTCAGGAGTCGTGGGGGGTGGGGGACAAGTGGAAAATCCCAGAGTGCCCTTTGATGAGGGTCTTAGCACTCTTTGGGGTAGAACCTAAATGGACAGAAGTAATAACATTGTACAGGAAAGCTGTGGAGCAGACATTAGTGGGTGTGGAGGTCCCACTGTCTTTCTCCAATACTGTTCCATTTTGATTTTAGCAAAGTTGGGCCAGCACAAAGGGTGAAGTGGAGCACCAATCTTGCACTCAGGAAACTTGGTGTTCAGTTCTGGTTATACCAGAATTACCTTGGGTTTATTAGACTTTTTGAAAACTACATTTGCTTATCTCCATGATGCTTTCTGTCTTTTGTTTCATTTTTTATCATGTGACATGTTTCTTATTTTAGTTAATAACCAGAGACCACTTGTGGGAAACAATTTGACAAATCAATGTCAGAAAGCAGTCTCTGCATCCAGGAGAAGAATTCCCAGCAATGTCCTATAGGTGTGGAGCTTTTAAGGCCTCCATGGTAACTGAGTGTTGAACATGTCTGTGGTTGAACTCTACCTCCACGGTTTACTTAATATACTAAAGGCATAGTACATATGCCTTGAAAGGTTGTAGGGAAATCTAATGTTGTAATTAAATTATATTATACAGGCACTGAGAAAACCTGATTCCAAAGACTTCCCAGCCACACCTTTCCTAAAAATATATATATTTTTTATAAGCAAATAACCAATTTCTACCCACCTGTTCTGCTATTCCAAGTTTTGGATATAAGTGTCTTTTGGAGGCTCTGACAGTTGAACTAAGTGTCCTTCTGTTGAGGTCAGTTTAGTTTTATGCTGTTCCTGTGTCTGAGTTCAGGTTGACTGTGTACTTTCAATAGCGCTACCCATGAATCATGGCTCTCTTACTAATAGATAACTTTTAAAACTCCCCAGGAAAGCTGCCATTGAGTCTAGACTTAGTTGCAGTGCTGGCTGTTAAACACCTTGTACGGCCAACACTTCGGGCAGAGGAGCTTGGTGACTCTTTCATAATAATCGCTGCCCCCAGGTGGAGGAGACAGCCTATATGTGGAGCCCAGCTCTGCCGATTTCCACCTCAGTGGTTGTTGTGGGAAATAGAACGTTTCCACATCTGACATCACAGCACAGGTCGTGGCAAAGAAGCAGTGTGGTTGTTTGCTTCATCCTATTGCCCAAGCTGGTATTCAGCACAGTAGCCACAAGACTCCAGTGTTCAAAGAAGTGAGTGTCCGTGAGCATGAGAGCAATTGAGGCCACAGAGATGACGGCCCTCGTCAGCCGCTGCTTCCCTGGGTCAGCCTATTGGTGGGGTACAGAGAGGAGCTGAGAGGTCCAGTACTTGTGAAAGCCTGCCCAGGGGACAGAGATGCATGCCAGAAGAAATAGCTTCTGCAGAAGGAAATAGCTTCCCAACATGCCCTTGGATGCTAAACCCAGCATGGCCTTCCCCCTAATGTGCCCCCTTGTCCAGTACAGTTTTGGAATGTGGCATATGAGACCTCCCCACGCCCTTGGAGGTTCGTGATGACATTGCACTATTAAAGGCTATCAAGAACCCCGCTGCCGAGAACCATGGAACTTGGCTAGTCTAGTGTTTCCCTGCTGTACTTAACTGGCTTGCAGGAAACTGCCTGCCTCTTTGCTGCCCCACCGCCAGCACCGCTTCATAGTCTGCAGAACCCACTGAGAAACCACCATCGTCCCTGCATCGTGCAGCCCATGAGGGGCGTGAGGGAGGGTCTCAGGTTGGTCTCACCCTGGGCAGTTGGGGGCCCCAAGTAGGGATAACCCAGCTCCCCAGCTGGAGGTCAGTCAGAGACCTCTGCTTTCCTCTGACTTAGGCCACTGGGTTTCCACACAAAGTGCTGTGGCCAACAGTGCTGATCAACCATTGCTCCAGTGACTGCCCGTCCTGGCCTGAGCCTGACCGTCAGAGGAGCGCCTGTGTGGGCCACACCATGCGCCTCCCTGAGGATTCCTCTCCTTCGACTGCTCTCATCTCTCGCTGGGGAACTGGAGGAACTGTTACTGTGTTTCCTGTAAGAGTGGGATACGCCACATCAGATAGGAGGATTCTGGGGAGACCATGCTCTCTGGTCTGACACCTAAGGAACACCTGTCTGGCTGGCTCTGCACAGTGACAGAAGCTCCTGACTTGCCCTTGGTCACCGGACCAGCATGGCCTGACCTCCTTTCTTCCTTTCATTTGATTTTCTCATCTCATTTTTGTTTCATTTATTGTGCTAAATTTTATCTATTAGTGGACATCATCTTAAGCTATTTTTAGGACATGGAAGGCTGTACGTATATACACAGCGAAGCCCAGCGCACTCAGCAAGGTGGTCCTTCCCCAACCAGAAGTGCGAACATCTCACATGTATATTTGGTTCAAACGACCCCAGCTGACTTCCTGCACTGCTTGGATTTGTCAGATTATGGCCAAGTTTGCTTCCCACCCAGGGCTGTGTAGACATATGGACTCAGCCACGTGTGGCTTTGCTACAGTTCCAGGGTGAGTTCGGGTAGAGGTACAGTCACGCATCACTTAACGACGGGGATAAGTTCTGAGACGAGCTTCGCCAGGCGATGTTGTTGTTGGAGCAAACATCACAGAGTGCACGTACACAGACCTAATGGGACAGCCTTCTACACAGCCAGGCTGTATGGTGCTGATCTCATGGGACCACCGTCATGTACGCGATCCGTCATTGACTGAAGCCTCGCTATGTGGTGCATGGCTGTATAAAAACATTGTCTGGAAGGCAACATAAACTTGCTTTGTCCAAGTTGTAGAGAGTGAACAATCGAATCCAGGTTAGGGTTTTTGTTTCTCTTATTTTAAAAGTCATCGTTGTTTCAATGGGCCCTGAAGGGCCTGGTGTGGCCCAGACCTTCACCAGCACTGCCCCTTGGATGTGATCCGCTGCCCAGCATTCCACTTTGCATACCCTGGCCCTAGAGTTCTGCTCAGAATTGGGATGTTTTGAAAATTCTCCAGGAACATGCATAAAATTCCTTTGGTTTGAAACCGAAATCAAAATCTTTGAAAGGAAAACATTTTTCTTTTGGGAGAGTGTCTCCCTTTTGTGCTTGTCCAGCATATTGATGGGGTCTTGGGACACTGGTATCAGTGGTATAACATATGTGTTGAAGCTCAGGGTCCCCTGCACGACCTCTTCAATTACTGCAGCACGAGGCAGAGGAGTAAATGAACACAGCATCAGCCGTCCACTAGGGAGTGGGCCGAAAGCTGTGACACTGGCATCTTTTCTGTCTGATGGTTCATGGGGGGACTTTGGCTAGAAGGTAGATGTGTGACCATGTGGTATTGGTCTGACAGTGCTGGGCCGTTGGTAGTTATAGGGCCTTGAGTTTGAACAAAGTAGCAAGCATGACCTGGAAATGTGAAGAGGAGGGGAGCCGAGGCCTGGAGACGTGGCATTCTGAGTCGTGATACGGTGAGAATGGCAGCCAGGCTTGCTGCGGTCGTCCGTCTCCACCCTGAAGGAGGGCAAGTTAGATGACCTCAGCTTGGCTGCTAGACTCCGTCCACTCTCTCTGCTCTGAAACGACCTTGAAGGCTTGGAAATGCTGGCTT